GATGTTCTTGATGTCATCCCACAACTCTTCTGGTCTTCGGTCTTTAGTGTTTAATGTATCAAATCTGTTCTTCAGATGATCTCTAAATTCAGGTGGGATACATTCAAGGTCATATTTTGGTTCTCGTGAACTTGTTTTCATTTTCTTCAGCTTCAGTCTGAATTTGCATATGAGCAAATAATGGTGAGTTCCACAATCTGCCCCTGGCCTTGTTTTCACTGATGATATGGAGCTTTTCCATCTTCTCTTTCCACAGATGTAGTCAGTTTGATTACTGTTTATTCCATCTGATGAGGTCTATGTGTATAGTCCTCTCTTATGCTGTCTAAAGAAGGTATTTGTAACTCTTGCTGTTAGGGAACTGTTGTACTCTTAAATATGTTGTTGTTGTTGTTGTTGTGTGCCATGGAGTTGGTTCCGACTCATAGTGGCCCTGTACAGGGTTTCCAAGGCTGTAAATCTTTACGGGAGCAGAACGCCTTATCTTTCTCCCGCGGAGCAGCTGGTAGTTTCGAACCATTGAACTTGTGGTTCGCAGTGACTGCACTACCAGAGCTCCTTTCTTAAATACGGTGTGCGAAAAATGTGAAAAGAAACTTGGTACTGTTATCACTCCAGATACATGGAAAGGCGGTGCAAGGAATACTGATGAAAGTGGTCTAAGAAAGTTGAATGAAAATAAAGCTTTGACTTAAAAAAAAAAATCAAGAAACACAGCTTTTATTGTATGAAATTTTTCAAACAAGGAACACCCAATATGTCCAACTTCATACAATGAACTTCAGAAAAATGCATATACATGTATTGTCTTGAATTCAGCTGTCATGAGAACCAGAAGAATAGAACAGTGTTGTGTCTCCATGATGGCCTGTAATAAAAGTGGGAACACTGTTTGAAGCAGAAAAAAAAAAAAAAAGGGTATTTGAAATGAACAAATCATTGGTTTTGCAGAATCCTATCATGCAATCTCTAGCATCATTTCTATCATCAAGGCCATATTTTCCAACTGCTGATCCTTCCTCTTTGTTCCAACCTTTGCATTCCAGTCACCAGTGATTATAAATATATCTTGATTGCATGTTTAATCAATTTCAGATTGAACAAATAGGTAGGATTCTTCTATTTCATCCCCACTGGCTTTAGTGGTTGGTGCGTAAATTTGAATAATAGTGGTATTAACTCTTCTCCCTGTTGTTGTTGTTGTTGTTAAGTGCTGTCGAGTCAGTTCCGACTCATAGCAACCCTGTACAGGGTTTCTGAGGCTG